ACTCAAGAAAATCACAACCTGAATTGACCCTTAATTTACTTCTTAAAAACAAAAGGTATTCAGTCAGATGTGGAGCCCCCCACACCTTTAACTCCATCCCTCAGGAGGCAGAGGCAGGCAGAGCTCCAAGTTCAAGTCCAGTGTGGTCTATTGAGCCAGTTCCAGGACAACCAGGCTACACAGAGAAACTCTGTCTCAAACAAAAACAAAAACCCAGCCACAAAAATGTGTGTGTGTTTGTCTCTGTCTGTGTGTCTGTGATATCCACATGTGCACATGTGCCAAGGTATACTCATGAAGGTCAAAAGACAATTTTCAGGAGTCAGTTCTCTCCTTCTATCCTGGGCTCTGGGGACTGAACTCAGGGCATCAGGCTTTCGAGACAAGCACCTTTACCTGCTGAGCCATCTTGCTGGCCCTTGATTTGGTTTTCGAGTCAGGGGCTCCTTTTTAGCTCAGGCTAGCCTTGAACTCTGCATCTTCCTGCCTACAGCTCCTAAACGCCAAGATTATAGGTATGTGTCTCCACGCCAAGCGTCAAAGTCAGTACTTCTCTACAAGTCCCGACTGTGCGAAACTCTAGGGCTGTAAGACAAAAGCACATGAAACACTGAAGGAAGTGACTCTGGTGTGTCATTTCCTGTCATTCGTTCTGACTGCACCAGTGACATTTCTATCACATTGTGTCTTCATGTACTGTGAACTATGCATTCGCTAAACCCGAGTACCACAGTCTCTTCCCTAAATGTTTCAGAAACGCTGGAAAGTAAACCCAGGGCCTGCTGGGCTTCACTTCCCTCCAGGCTGACAAGGGACAGTATCTGCTTGTCACCTGTCCTGAAGAGGACTTAGATGGCAGGCGTAAAGTGCAAAGCAGCACCTAGCAACTAGCCTAACACCTAGCACCTTGTTAATAACAATGGCAAAAATCTGTTATGGAATAGAATGGTTCTAGGATAATGAAGTCGTTCTAGGTCCAAATACTTCAGACCCATCCCCCACCCTAGGGGAACCACCTGCTGACAGTTGAGAATGTGACATCATAGGACCTCCATCTCTCATGGCCCACTGTCAAGACAGGCAGCTCAGTCCTCTCATGGATGTCCACTCTGTCCCTTCTTTGTGACCTGTGCCACACATTTATTTATGCATGGCAGGGCCCCAGACCTCTCCAATATCTCAAGACTGGACATGGGTCATCTGTCCCCTGAGAAACATCGTCAGTACTGTGAGGGCCCTGGAACCATTCTGCCCTATGTTTCACACTTCCTGTCTCCTGGATCACCCTTGATCAGGCTCTGCTCCAGTTCCCAGAGAGGGACTACAGTGGAAAGTGCCTCTGAGAGGTCATACATCTTTTCTCAACAATAAGATGGGTGTTGCTGGACTATATTTCTCACAAAAAGGGCAAGTCACATTCTCAGAGAAATTGTTCTATGCTTACCCACCCCAACTCTGCCCTGCCTCCCAAAGAAAATGCAGGCAGCTGTCCACAACGGTGAAATCCAAAGGGTATTTCCACCAGGCACAGGGGTATTCCACATCAGCACATCCCCCTAGGAATTTCTAGGCAGAAGTTCAGTGAGATTCTGTGGAGCTTGGGGGTTGGGTTTTTTGGTTGGTTGGTTGGTTGGTTGGTTTTGCGTTGTTTTTTTCTGTTTATAGAAAGCATTCAGCCAAGATCGTTCACGATCTCAGGTCTACTCCCCTATGGATATCCCTTCTATGTCAGATCTCTAAAGATACAGCATTCGTCTTATCATCTACAATTGTTTAACTCTAAATCTCCTTAAGAGCTGAGGAGGAGGCTCAGTGAGTAGCGGTTACTGGGCAAGTGTAGGGACCCGAGTTCAAATCTCCAAGACCCACCTAAGCTGGACAAAGCACATCTCTAATCTTGGAGCTTTTGGGGTAAGACAGGAGCTAGAGGCAGGGGGCTCTCAGAAGCTCAAAGACCAGCTGATCTATGCAGCTGTGAACAAGAGCCTTTTGTCTCAAACAAGGCAGAAGGTGAGACTCCCAAACTTACCCTCTAACCACCCGCAAACACACACATCTGTGGTATGCACACGTGTACACACACACACACACTTACACACACACTCGCACCAATAACAAATAAACACACAGTAACCTTCAGGGACTGCTTCTTATCATCCCCTCTACCTATGAAAACGTGTCCACAAGTGTCCCAGCTGGCCCCAGGAGAACACTATCCTCTAGCCCCAGGGGAACAGTCATGTAACTAATCATCCCGATTTAGAGACAGGAAAGCCGGATTGTGACGTGATCTCCAGCACGTCTGTACTCTTTCTAGGACTGTAGAATGGAATCACCACACTAGAAAAGGGCCTAGCAATCTCTTCTGTACACTACACACACCTCTTCTGTGACATGGGTACTTATCCAGGAGAATGGGAACCGTGTCTCCAGGAATCTGTGTACAAACGCACAAATGTTCATAGCAGTGTTTTTCACAAGAACCATCAGCTAACAACAACTAACAACAACAACAACCGGATCTAACCCATGTACCCAGGAACAAGGGGATATACAAACAAACTGTGGCATACACACGTCTCATGAACATAACTCATACATAAGAAACTTAACAAAAACGGAATTACTGAACCTTATACAGAACTGCAGACGTCCATGTCTATGATGTTTAAATAACAGACTACACAAACCTATGGTAAGACAGAGAGTGGTTGCCACTGGGAAGGTGGGGCCATGAAGAAACCCAGGTTAATGGTGTATCACCTGTCTTGATAAGGACTGGGTTGCACCGTGCATGCATATGTCAAAACAATGTGCAGACTGTTCCACTGTTACATATGTGTTACTGAACACACATTGAACATGTGAATTAAAACGTTTATAAACTAACCCCGTACTAAGGCTATAACTTAAATGCGTAAAGCAGCACACTGGATAGACGGATGGTGCCTAGGTGTGCACTAAAGTTAATCCAGAGAAGTGTTAGAAAAATCCAGGTATGATGGGTCTTTGTTTTTGTAGCCCAGGCTAGCCTCTAACTCAATTTTCTCCAGCCTTCTCCACCTTCTGGATTCTGAGATTACAGGAGTACGTCACTGTGCCCAGCTAAGTATTTGTATGGTCTCTGTTACAACATTACTCTATCTTTTTTTTTTTAATGGGGGCTGGGTGTGCTGGTATGTATAATGGAAGGAAGAGCAAAGCAAGTTTGAGGTTAACCTGGTCTGTGCAGTGGTAGATCTAGACCAGCCAGGGCTACACAGGGAAACCTTGTCTCAACAACAGCAGCAACAAAACCAGAAAGTGGTATAGAAAAATCAGACTACCCTTTTCTTAGCCTACCAAGTTAACATTTGGTAAGGCAGTCGGGGCCACCAAGCCACAGAACCGCACAGCTCCAGCTCCGATGTAAGTAAAGCCTGGAGAAACTCTGGGAGCTTGACAGGAACTCCCACCACTGAGCCTGATTCCCCACAGACAAAGCAATCACTGAAATCAAGCCAAAAATCCTGTTTCTGAGGGAGAGAAAAAAATTCCCTGACTTGTATCCCAGACTTACTCTATTTCAATTCCTGCACCAAATAGATTAGCTGGCCACACAATCCACTTTATTTTCCCCTTGTCCACAATGTCAGGGTAAAAAAGACAAAACGACCCAGTGTCCTACCCACAAACGGAGGCACAGGGAGGCTCCCAGCTCGAAGCCGGAATTGCTCAAACCTCATGAAATCTCTACAGAAGGCAGAAGGGTTTGCAAGCTCACTCTAGGGTTACACTGATTAACTGAGGTCAGAGCATAGCACCACACAGCTTGTGACTTAACCCCTGAGGGTGAGTGGCTGGTGACATCTGGTGTCACCTGAACTTCCTCAGAATCCAGCTGGTCAGAATGTACAAATTAGGAATCCTGGCCGCGACGGATACGTTGGGTTCAGTGGCCCTACCCATGGACTCGTAAGCCACTCACATTACACCCCGGGCTTCCTTCCTGGAAAAGGCTTATCCTGAGATGACACTCTGTAGTAGCAGTTGGGAGACACCTGTTCTGACGTTACCCACCCACTCCCTTCTGAAACAGCTGTATGAACAAGGGGGTCTGTTGCTGGGCAGCTAGGCAGCCACTCATATACAAAGATCTGTGCCAGACTCTTTAAAAAAAAAAAGTAGTTCTTGTTTGTCTGTAAGCCCCTAAACAAACTCACTGACACCACCCACCGCCCACAGGGGGCAGCTGAGAGCCAGCAGCCAACAGGCATCAGAGAGCACGCGCGGGGCTAACCCTGCCCTCTGTGTGATTCTGGCCTCCAAAGATAGCGGTGTAGGAGCGGAGTGGACCTGGAGCACTTGCCTGACAGTCAGGCTTCCTTAAATACACACTCCCTCCTCCTCGGCCAGACCCCATGCCCATCCTGGCGTGCCCCGCGCCTAGGAAAGTGTGTTAGGACACGAAAAGAGAAAAAGAAAAATTCCTTTTTCAGAAGAGAAAAGCCTGGGACTTGGCTCTCAGTATTTCCACCGAGTCTCTGCCCGCCTGCTCTCAAGAGTCGCACACCTCTACCCAGGGTCGAGCCCAGGTCTCCGGGTGAACGTGGGCGGTTCTAACTCTCATCCGCTCGGGGCCGGGTACCCACTACAGCCGCGGATCCCAACCCACCTGTAGCCTCCGAGCTTCCCTCCGCGTCCCTCTAGCAGACCTCCGCCGGCGAAGTCCAGGACCCCCAGCAGGCGACCTGACCCTCTCACCCCAACGTGCTCCCGCTTGTTTGTTTGTTTTTTTTTTCTCTTCATCCAGAAAAAAAAAAAAAAGTTGCCCCAGAATCTGGCGTCCCATCAATCTGTCCCCATCCCTATGCGACCTGCACCAGGGGGCTCGCCTAGCAGCTCCGGAGCCCCGAGGTGCCACGAGGAGCTGTCGCCTGCTCACTAGGATCCGGGCCGACGGAGCCAGCGACCCAAGCCTCTGCGCGCCACCTCGCCGGCCCCGCCGCACGCCCACCTACCTTAGGGGACCAGCAGCGGCGACCGTGGCGCGGGCTCACGGAGACAGCGTGCTGTGTCCCGGGATGAAAGTTTGTGCCATGCAGAGCAGGGCGGCGCGCGGACGACGCGGCCCCGGGGGTGGGGGCAGAGCGCGGGGCGCGGCCGCTCGCGTGTCGTGGGTCCCTCGGGCGCTGGCCGCGCAGGTACCTCCCCGGAGCCAGTGGCCGCCGCGCTCCCGCTCGCTGCGCCCTGCGCGCTCCGACTCCAGCCCCGCCGCCCCCACCCCGCGCCGCCGCCGCCGCCGCCGCCGCGCGTCCGCCCGCTACACTTCCTCTTCCTCTGAACTCATGTGCAAAATATGCTGCGCTGCATCTTCTTGGGGGGAAGCCGAGCGGCCCTTGGCAGCCCCGCACGAGAGACCCGCCGGCCCCGTGCGCTGCCTGCGCCGCGCAACCCGGTCCTCCCTCCCCTCCCCCCTAAACCCCACCTCTCTTTCCCCAGGCCTGGGCTCTGGGATCCGCTTAGGAAAGCGACAAGGTGCTGGGAAGGCAACCGCCATCAACATGTTGATTGATGGCTAGGACCGGGAGGAGAGCTGGAAAGAGGTCCATTCTGGACCCATTCCACAGGTGGGAATGTCCCCAAGCAGCGTCTGCTACAGGGTTTATCTCTCCGCAAGTAGTGCTTGGGAAGAGAAATAGTGCCACTGGCTTCAGTCTCTTTCTTGACCTTATCCAGGTGTCCAAAGGTTTGAGATCTTGATTCGATTGGGTCATCTTAACCTTGCAAAATGGATTCCCCAAGAGGCATCCATAAAGCAGTTCCTTAGGACAGGGCTGCTTTACCATAGTGAAAGTGTGAAATAGTGTCTCCTTGAGGCCAGTAAAAGAAAACAATTACCATGCAGGGCTTGAGAGCGGGAAGCCTAGAGACAAATGGTCAGGATGGATTCCTGCCTCTGTCCTTACTCCCTTGTGACTGGGGGATGACTTTGGGCCTCTTCATTGGCCAACCAGCACTTCCTTGTGCCCTTATTAATTGTAAAATGCTTGGAAGCATTCTATAATTCTGCTATTATCGTTATTATATCATTACCATAAGGGGCTGAGATTTAATTGATTATCCTGTTCTGGTTGGGCAAAGAAGGGTCCTTAGGCATTGTGGAGCCACACGGCTGCAGAGGGCTGGCTGATCTAGGCCCTGTGTATTAATGAGGTCCTTCTGACTCTAGGAACACTCGCCAGGGGGAAAGCAGCACTGCCTGTTTTCAGGAACTCCTCTTGTGAGAGCTACTCCAAGATCTTCTTCCCCATAGCCCTCTCCTACTCCCCACCACCATTCTGACCCTGAATTGTCTTCTTTTACCCCTCTGCTTCTGCATCCACTCTATCCTAGCATCTTTCCCCACGTTTCTCCACATTTCCCTATCCCTAGTTCACATCACCAGCCTGCCTGGCTGGAAGAGAATAATAAACCAGAACAAGGGTCCAGGGCACCCCTAGTGTTAAACATTTATTTGTTAAAGGGGGGGGGCTTTATGCAAAAGATACTGCCTGAGACCTGGAAATCAGGACTCTTACAACATTGTCCAGAACCTCTGATGGTCACTACAGAGAGAAAACAGCACCTAGTGGTGCTAGCCAGTGGTCAACAAGATATCACAGGGCATAGAATCAAAGAAGAATAGGGAAGAGGAGAGGCAGAGGGAGAGGGAGAAGGAGAAAGAGAGGCAGAGTGACAGGGACAGGGACACGGAGAGGGAGAGAGACACAAAGAGAGGAGACATTATTTTTTTAAGCAAATTCTTCCCACTTATAAATTTTGTATACGTAGTTTTATTTTAGGGTGTGTTTTAGGGTTTAGGGGTTTTGTTTTGTAAATACCAGGTCCTTGAGGTTAATAAGGTATTCTGACATTTTCCTATTTTCTGCCACTCAATACTGTCCTTAGTACCAACACTATGTATTTAAATGTCTTTAATTAACTCTTCCCTGTCTGTTTCTTTATGTTTTGGTTTTGTTTTGTTTCTCTGGGACTCTTGACCTGTCTTTCTATACACCCCGATGCTTCCTCTCTGGCACACGACACTTGATAAACATGTATGTCATGAACTATTGTATGTGTGGTCTACATTCAACAATTATCTGAACCTTCTTAATCTCCTGCTTGTGATACCCAATACGTAGCCAAGCCTTGGGTTCACTTATGTTGTTTACAAAGCAGCCTGGACTGCTGTGGGCCGGCTAGTTAGGGGACAGGCCCCGGGCGGCTGGGCCTTACCTCTAACTGACCTCATCTACCCAGCCTCAACCCCAGAGATGCTGGAACTGGATCCTGGTGGGTTACCTTGGCAACCTCACAGTGTTGTCTGTTAGAATGTCCTAGGGCGGCAGCTTTTAATTCTATCACAGCAGTCTCTTCGGGGGGTTGTGTAATAGTGCTGTTTCTCTTCTGCTCACACTTCCTTCCCTTATGATTTCACACTAAGTACTTGTGAAGGATGCTGAACACGGGGAAAACCAAGCTATTACTCCACAACAGGTCACAGATGCTCCCAGAACCGGGATGCTGCCTGTTGGAAGCTGATAAAACACAGGTCTGAGTTAATGGGAAAGCTGGTTCTTCTCACACCCTGTGGGGGAAGGAGGAGATAACCCGGCCTAGACAAGTGTAGGGAGGCCTATATAAACCCATCTGAGCTCAAGGGAGGGAGTGTCCTAGCTGGAGCAGTTTCGTCCTGGGCTCTATGCACCTCCTCCTCTGGAGATAATACAGGCACAGGTACCAGCAGCTGGAGCAATGTTGCTGTCCCTAGCTATGGTGGAGAAGGAGTATCTCCAGACAGCTTCCTATCCTGCCCACCTTTTCCCACATAACCCCAAACCCACAAGTCCACCCGAGTTAGGGCCACCCTGCTCTGGCTAACTCCACTTCCCATGACTCTGCAGACAGAGGTAATAACTTGGGACAGAAGGTACACATTCAAAAGCACTGGACACAAAAGACTGTTTATTCGTAAGACCAGGGAACCCAGAGCCTATGCCCACCCTGTGAATGGCATTTGGGCTGGTGGGAGAGATAAGTTATCTATGACCCGTCAGACAGTCATCATTATAGTTATTACTGGAGGTAGCTTTGCAGCCACAGTGAGGTCACCTGTGGCAGGTGCTTGCTCCATAGCCCATGGTTATGGGAAGGTGATTCTATGCATGCTGGCCATTCTTGACACAGATAGAGAGGGAGAGGTCCCAGGGCCGTGGTTTCTGAGCAGTCTCTGCCCCCTGTTCCCTGAAATGAAGAAACTATGGCAAATTGATTCCTTCTGGTCACAATGGCACACAGCACACTTCAGCCAGTATAGCAAGCCTCTGAGTCTGTCTTGGGATGTAAGAATGTGAACTGGGTGAGGGCAGGGAGCTTGTATTTTTGTATATGTATTGATCTGCATAGACTGGCTAGCAATTTTTGTCAAATTTTGTCAAACCAGGCATCACCAGTTGGAAGAAATGTTGGAGTAGAGCCAAATATTCCATTCACCACCACCACCACCCATACAAAAGACAAATTACTGTTATTCTGCCTGAGTCTGCTCCTCCTTTTAATTCTGAATTCCCAGCCTGTGTGAGCTGTTCAGGGGACAGGGGCCCTCCTGTGGCTGAGACAGAATTTGCTCTCTAGAGAAAAAAAAAAACATTAGAGACTGAATCTCTCAGGAATAGCATGAAGCACTCTCCTCTTTGGGCCTTGTTTCCCTCACACAGCTTGAAGAACTGCCTGCCCCTGCCAGTACCATCCACATCCCAAAGATGGGCACAGAGGCATCCACTCCCTTCAAGGTTAGTCTGTCAGTAACACATATGTGTTGGTTTATATTAGTGAATGGATTGTATTGCCAGAGGTTGTGTGTGTGTGTGTGTGTGTGTGTGTGTGTGTGTGTGTGTATTCATTCCAGTGTATGTGTTGAACAGCGAATTCCCGTATGTGTGCCCTCTCTGTTCTCCAGATGTAAGGAGTGAGAGAGCATGGGGAAACACCACTGGTACCTGTATCATTTCCTTTTCTCAGTGCTGGGATGAGATGCCTGTGGTGGCAACTTGCAAGAAGGAAGGCTTACGTAGACCAGTGTTTCAGGAGATACTGCCCATCTAGGTGGGTCGCCATAGTGAAGGGAACTTGTTCAGATCTGTGGCTGACAGGGAACAGCAACTCCTCCTGAAGTAGGAGCTGATTACAAACTTTAAGACCTACTCTACACCATGCATCTTACCCTAGGCCCCAATCTCTGAAGTTCCATAGTCCTTCCCATCCTCCCTGAAAAAAAAAATTACGGTCAGCTGGAGACCAAAAAGCATGAGTCTGTGAGAAACATTTGACATTGAACCATAACAATACGTGGATGTTAAATTATTTGTATATAGAAACTGATATGATTTTCCTTCCACAGCCTCTCCATCCCCACTGTCTTTTTGTCCACACTGTACTAACTTTCTTGACATCAGAGAAAAGGCCCAGCAGGCCTTTGTCTCAGGCTGCCAGGCCTTTGTCTCTGGACAGGAGGATAAGGAAGCAGGCAAACATTTCATCGTTATCTAGATTTATTAGACATAAAGAAAAAGCATAATTTTTACAAGGAAGAGCTAGCACAATAACAACAACAACATCAAAATCTTAGTTTTTGAGTTTCTGAAGACCAGGTCTAAATATAAAATGAGAAAGTAGAAAAAAAATAGGAAACCAAACAGACCCATCACCCAGTGTCTTATCTCCGTTTCTACTGACTAGGGGGTCTGGATCAGGTTTGTTTTCTCTGCCTGTTAAAGAATTAAAAGGCAAGAAAAATCTGAGCACAAAAGGTAGCAGCGGCAGGGAAAATCTCAGATGCAGCAGACAGAAGCAACCAACCAGCGAGGAAAGCCATCTATAAGGGTGAGGAAACTCAGAGCGAGGCAAACAGGAGGCTCTGCAGCAGAGCAGAGCCCTGCACTTCCCAGGGAGAGGAGATGGGTTTGAAGGATGGTTTGGGGGAGATCTTTCTTCCCTTATTTAGGACTGGCCAGTTTGCACAAAGACAGGGAAACTGATAGGCCAGGTAAATGTGTCCTGGTCCTAGCCTTGAACTTATGAGGATAAACCTGTGGCTGTATTGCAGGGAGAAAATGCCCAGGAGGCCTTTGTCTCAGGCTGGCAGGCCTTTGTCTCTGGTCAGGACAGTAAGGAAGCAGGCAAAGGTTTCCTCAATATCACTGAGCTGTGGCTCCCTCATCTGCCTGCCTATCAGAGATCTGTCTAACAGCTAGCCCTGTGCTATCACCATCTTTGCTATATGCGCACACACACGTCTGCCTTGAGTCAGTGAAAGCCTGCTTAGGAAAAAGGGGAAGCAGGAAAGGAAAGGGGGTGTGTCCTACAGGGGCGGGGGGGGTATCTCCAGGTCCCTCTAGAGGTAGGATCACAGTGCAAAGCCTACTGGCAAGTCCTTCTGGGCTCTCTGAACTGCTGCTCTGCTCTTAGAACTTGTGAAGAATCTGTGCAGGGGAGCACTGGACCTGTATCAGGGAGGCAGGCCACATGTCTTCATCCCCCAGTGGCACAAACAGTGAACTCTCAGCAGCAGCAGCAGCAGCAGCAGCAGCAGCAGCAGCAGCAGCAGCAGCAGCAGCAGCGGCAGTAACCCGGGGAGCATCCCAAGACTAAGGGCTGCTCCGGAATCAGCCTTTGCAATTCCGCTTCCCTTACTTTTGTAAACTCTGTTGCCGTGATAAAAATCCATGACCAAAAGCAACTCTGGAAAGAAATAGTTAATTTCAGCTGACATGTGTAGTCGGTCCATCATGAAAGGAAGTCTGGAAAGGAACCCAAGGCCGGAACCTGAAGACGGGAGCTGATGCAAAATTCAAGGAGAGCACTGATTCCAGTCTTGATCCTGGAGGCTTTCTCACAGTGGCTAAAGCAGTAGCTGAGAGCTTGCCTCTCGATCCACAAGCACAAGGCAGACAGAGCTAGCTGCGAATAGCAGGGGCTTTTGAAATCGCAAAGCCCACCCCCCAGTGACACACTTCCTCCAGCAAGGCCACACCTCCCAACATTCTCCCAGTAGTTCCGCCATACTGGGACCAAGTACTCAAAACATGAGCCTACGGGCCATTCTCATTCAGGCCACACCAGATGTGTCTAGGTTAGTGTTAAGTTGACACAAACCAACCAACACAGCCTGGCAAAAGCTTCTTAGGGAAGGAAGGGTTTGTGTTGCTTCAGAGTCTGCGAACACTGACCACCCACAATGGCAGGGACAGCTTTGGTGACAGGACTGTGAGGCAAATGGCCACACAGTTTCCTAGATCAGAAACTGGAGAAAGAGGAGCGCTTATTCTCGGTTGGCTTTTTCCTTTCCCTTCCTTTTATTCATTCCAGGATGCCAGCTCCATGGGCTGGCTCTCCCCTCCTCAGTTAAACCCCTTTAGAAACATCCCAAGGTGTGTCTCCTGGGTGCTTCAAGTCTAGTCAAGGTGAAGTGAGGATGAACTGTCACGGTCTTCATTTAACATCCAGTGGAGAGTAAGTTGTGATCTCTGTGCAGGAGCTGGCAGACCCCAGGGTGACAGAGTTGCTCACATCTGTCCGCAGATCTGCCCCTGGAAGAGCCTTCATGGACTAGCTCAGAGTCCTGTTACAAGGCAGCATCCTAGCTGTCGTGTTTCTGGTTAGCCCATTCTGGCCCACGGCAACTTATCTTCCAGGCTCCGGTGGTTGGGAGAGGCTTTGGTGAATTGTATGCGTGGTGAGATTAGTATTAAAACAAAACTCCTCCCACTTCCCTCATGCTGGAAGCAAGGTCACTGGTGACTTTCTACACAATGGCTGCCGGTCAAGTTGGGGTACCCGACTGACTAAGGTGCTGAGCCCGTAAATGACCTGTACCTGTACTGATTATGCTCTCTGAAGACACAGAGACTATGTGTTGCTGCTTTCTGCAACACAACCTTGCCCATCCTGCCAAAACCTGTACAGCTGACCTAATTGGGGTGATGAGCTCAGATGGGTTGTGCCCTCTGACAGAGATTCACCAGCAGTAGCCTGGAAACCGGAGCTTCTGTTATGGACAAAACCGACAGGGAGGAGGGGTCATGCTAGCTAATCTCAGTAGCAGGTCTCTATGGGAGATCTGTCTCAGTCCTGGGTTCCAGTCATCCAGGAGGAGGAAACTGAGGTTGATAGTTTCTGCACACACTGGTCCTAACTAAAGGTCAGCCCTTTGCCGCATCCATACTCAGATCAGGGGAAGACCTGGCTATTGTTGGCATTTCGTCTAGGCTCTGCCCCAGTTACTTGACAATAGCCAGGTGTGCCTGACTTACTATAAAAGGAGCTGCTTGCTCACTCCTCCGTCTCCCTCCCTTCTTCCCTCCCTCTCCCTCTCCCTCTCTCCCCCTGCTCCTGCTCCCCCTCTCTCCCCATTCCTCTCCTCCTTCTCTCTCCATGTGCTCATGGCCGGCCTCTCCTCCTCCTCTTCCTCCTCCTCCTCTCCCTCCTCCTCTTCTTCTTCCTCTTCCTCCTCTTTTTCCTCCTCCTCTTCCTCCTCCTCCTTCTCCTCTTCTTCTTCTTCCTTCCAATCTCTCTCTCTCTCTCTCTCTCTCTCTCTCTCTCTCTCTCTCTCTCTCTGGCTTTCTCTCAACCCCCCTCTCCATGCACTGAATAACTCTATGCTTTACTATACCTCAGGGGGAAGGGATGCCTCAGCATGGGCCCACAGAAGCACCCCTTCCCCCACACCTTACCTTGCCTGCACCAGACACATCCCTGGCCCCTCTCTTACCTTTTTATAAAACACAACAGCTCTTCCCATGGGTCTGAGGCACTGGGGTCCTTGACATCGCCATGCTCACGTCAAGAAAACATGTTCACTCAGGACTCCATTCGCTCCCCACATTATCCTGACTGATAAACCCAGCTAGAACCTGTCATGTGTTATGGAAGGTGATCAAGCTTCATTTCCAATTGTTGTGATAAAATATCCTGATAAAAACCACTTAGGGGACAAAGGACTTATTTTGGCTTACAGTCCCAGAGGGATGGAGTCTGTCACAAAGAGAAAGAATGGCGACCAGCTGGAAAGGCGTGGCAGCATAATGGCGGGAGGAAGCTCGCTGAAAACGGTGCGTGCATATTCAGAACGCTGTGGGCCGAGGCAGAGACAGAGAGACACTCATACCACAAGTAGGAGAAGACTATACACTCTCAAAGCCCAGCACCAATGACTTCAGATTTGGAGGCTCCACCTCCGGAAGGTTCCATAACCTTCCAGACACCATCCTCAGCTGGGAACTATATATTTAAACACTGGTGCCTGTGGGAGACGGTACATCTTCAAACCATATGAGACATCGTAAACGCATGTGAGGGCTAGAAAGCCTAAGGCAGTGGTCTCAGAAGAGCATCTCCCCTGTGAACCTGGGGTCCGCACTATCCTCATTATCCCCAGTGTCCCAGAACCTGAGACACAGTAAGGACACCAGTCACCTGCTCATGTATCAGAGGTCCACCAAGGGGTTCCATGGGCCAGGGTGGTGTTAGGAGTGGCAGTGACCAACAGGTAGTGTCCTATGCTCAGACGTGGCTCATGGCTATCTGCTAACTACAAATGGAGTGTGATTCAGGGACATTGAGAGACTCACCCAAGGTGACCCAGTTAATACATTGTCAGCCGGGACTTGAGGCCTGAGCTTCCTTCGTTCTCCCAGGTCACCTTAAAGAAATAGAATCTGTGTCTGCAAGTTTACTCTAAAGAGCAGGTGGGATTTCACTCTGCAGGGTCTTGACTCCTTCCTCGATGCTTGCTTGCTTGTTTTCATTCCGTAATTAGTACCCAGATCAGGGCCTGATGATAATCGACGTTCCCCAAACATTTGCTGAATGAAGATGCGAGCACAAGGAGAAGACTCGGCTGCAACTGTGGAACTGTGCACAGAAACAGTCCAGAGACTCGAGCTCAGTCATAATAACCCGCCACTCTAGCACTGTGGACAGAACTCAGTGAGCACATCTGCACAGGGTGCTGAGGCCCTGGGTTCCTTCCCTAGAATTGGAAAGAAACTACTAAATCTAAGTGGTATACCTGATCCAAATAACTTTCGAAATATTAATTGCTACCGAGCAATCAGTATTTCCTATTATTTCCCATTACCCTCCTCTGCCCCTTCCCAGATAAAACTATTTGGCATCAGTTTGTCTTAGTAGAAAGGTCAAGAGAAATGTCAGAGGCCTCAAAAGCTAGGATCTGAGTTTCAAATACCTTCAAGAGGGCAGTACCACCTTCCAGACTACAGGAAGGGAGGAAAGACCTGAAGAAAGCAGGCATGGCTATGCACTGAGATCCTGGGTAAGGTGAGCCAACACTGTCCCTGTGGTTTATTCAAAAGGAAAGACAGAACTGGCACAGGGTTACATGTCTGTAATCCCAGCACCCAAGAGGCTAAGGCAGGAGAATTGCCAGTTCCAGCCCATCTGTCTGGGCTGCATAGCAAGATACTGTTTGTCTATTCCTTTCTCCTCTCCCTCTCTCCCTCCCTCCCTCCTCTCCCCTCTCTCTAATCTCTCTGTCTCTGTCTCTCTCTCTGCCTCTGCGCCCCCTCCCGCCCCCACCTCTCTCTGCAGAAGATGTTTCTGTCACCGAGAGGCTTGACTCAATTCTGAAGACCTTGGAAGCCGCTGTAAATGTGATATGCAGAGGCTGAATGAGAAACGAAGCTTGAAAAACAGAGGCATCAGTCGGAACACAGCCCACTTTTCCCTGCTTTCCTTCTGAACGAGCCGCCTTTGAGCCCCACGGGGAAGACGCACAGGGTCTTCTGAGCTGAAGAATCGGAGACAGAGTTCTGATACAGCCAGATGGCTGAGGCAAGTGGCCCAAGAAAGCCCAAGTTCCCTCAACTGTGGCACTCCAAGGAAGACACAGAGTGACACCATCTCCCAACCTACCCCTTCCACCCCCACACCCCACCTCCTCTGCCACTGTCAAGCAACTGAAGGGAGCACAGAGGTAGCAGGGTACTGTAAACAGCACCACAAAGACTTTCTGCATCTTTGAAAGTGCCCAAGTCACAGGATGCTCTTATTTCCTGCAAACAGCAGGTGAATCTGCCAAGACCCTGGCCACAGCCCACAGAGCTGGTGACAGACTGTGGGAAGAAGCAGAAGACAGAACAAAGCATCAGCAAGTAACCATGTGACAAGAAGCGGGCCTCAGCCACCCTCCTGGGTGTGGCGACTCTGATCTGAGACAGTCAGTCTTGTCCATTCCTTGGCCGAGAACTTAGCACAGTGCTAAGGTCCTGGAATGGATGGGAGAAAGCTGCTGCCACCTCTGCCCTGCAGCTATGGGAGGAGGTAAGTGTGTCCTTAGCTCAGCACCTGTGCAAGGGTGTTGGGAACCAGGTTAGGGTTAGACAGTTGCAAGGTGACAGGAATAAGGAAAAACATAAGGAGATCTGGGAGGACCTAGGGACTCAACCTGGAGTCGCCCCTGACCTCTCAAACTCAGGCCCACCAATGAGCAGCCGCTCCTGCCTCCAGCAGCTCAGGCCAGAAACTTCTCCCTCTAGTCTTTGCCTCAGCTGGCCACAGGAGTGCTCCAAGTAGTCCTTTCTCGGTTATTCAGATGAATGGATGAAGAAGCAAGGAAAGGAAGGAATAAGAGACCAAATATGCAGGAGAATAACACTCATACCAGAGCCGAGGCCCTTCTAGGTACAGTGGCTCTAGAAAGCCTGTTGTCTCCTCCGGACTTCTTCACCCCGCCCTCTGAAGCCACGCCCTCTGAAGGGAGACCACAGGTTAAACCATCATGGCGTCAGCCCACCTTCCTCCCTCCGATCATCTCCCTGACTGTCTGTTCATCTGAGATGGAGATCTTGGGACAGAGCAGTGTGTCTATCAGCACCAAGACCCTTTCTCTCATCCAGGCTCACGTGCAGAGGCAAGCTGACAGCCCTGGGAGTCAGGGAGCGCACATGAACAATTTCTTCCCAGACCTAAAATCCTGGTTTTGGCACCCGGCCTCAGCTGAGAAATAACTGGATGATAACGGGCCAGGATCACATGTCTGCCTTCTCCGGCCGTTGGCATCAAGCTTTGCCTAATGCTTCTTATCAAGGAACTATCAATATTTCACAAGTGTTACCATTTCGGGGGGTGGGGGGAGCAGGGCAAGAAGAACAGCTGATTAAGGAGCACAGGACAGGAACTCAGTCGTCAAGACATAACAAGACAAGGTCTTACTCTCACCCCGCCCCCTCAAGGTCATCAGACTAATTGTCTTAAGGAGAAAATCTTTAAGTTCAAAGCCCAAATGTCCACATGTCCTTTCTCTCAAACCAGCTCAGGCCAATAGTCTCAGCACAAGGAACACAGAGGCTGGAGGCCCTGGGTTATATACGATTTCAATGCCAGCTCAGGCTATCTAAAAATGAGCAAACAAATATTAATTGCACTGTAGATTCAAGAGTGTATCAGACAGGGTTTCATGAATACCAGGGAAGTGGGGTCTGGTCACCCTAATATGTAGCAATGAATACGGACTGCCCTGGGCGGCTCAGCGAGCGTGGAGATACTGAGCATGCTTGAGCCTCAAGGCTAATGGTCTAAGCTCATCTTGCCTTAAGTGCTTTCCTGGAGCTCCTCTGTCCTCCCAAAGGGAAGCAGAATTTAACTTCCTGCTCCTTAAACTGGACAGCATGTGACACCTTTGTGAACAACACAGTGTGACCCGAGGTAAAGCTGTGTAAGTTCCACCTGTGAGAGGCTGTGTTCTTGAGGTGAGCGGTCCAGCTGCCTCAGTCCTCCAACCAAACCCATGAGACCGCTCAGCTGAAAGGTCTGAGGACCACAGAAAGACAGAAAAATGCTCAGGAAACCTCAGCTCCGCCCACTGATCCGAAATGTATTAAAGAAACTGCAACTGAAGCCAGCCAAGTGAGCCTTCCCCGGATCCCGGCCCACGGGGATTACGAGCAACAGTAAAATCATTAATGTCTATCTATCCCACCATGTGTTGAGGTGAGTGGTTAGACAGTAATGGTGAACTCAAACCAACAGCTACCACACGAAAAATCCACCAGGGTCTGAGTGAGAAGATGGTTCAGTCAGTGAAGTGTTCAGCTTGCCTTGTGAGCGGAAGGACCTTGGCTGGATCCCCCAGGAACCACACTAAAGGCCAGATGTTGTGGCATGTGCTTTGATCTCAGTGCTGGAGGTTGAAGCAGACAGAACCCTGGGCCCAATGGCCAGCAGCCTAGCCTAAGCTTCACAAGGTCCCAGTGAGATAATCTATTCAAGCAATGAAGCGGTTAGAGCTTGAGGAGCCACTGACATTAAGTTGTGACCTCCACACCATCCACATGGCCCAGCAGCTTGGAGACGGAGTAGATGTTGGGTTAGACCAGCTCAGAGCACTGGTTCTGGGCCTGAGTGGCAGTGCAGTTGGTCAGCCCAGGCATAGAAAGGCAGCATACACCCTTGTGGACCTCTTCCAGCCCCAGGTTTTGCTTTTTTTTTTTTTTTTTTTTTTTTTTAAATAGTGTCTCACTATACAGCTCTGGCTATCCTGGAAATCTCTGTAGACCAGGCTGCCCACAAACTTGCAGAGATCTACCTACCTCTGCCTCTCCAGTGCTGGGATGAAAGATGTGCATCAGTGTGCCCTGTTCATACTTTTTCCCTCCTCTCTATGTCTCTCTCTGTCTCTGTCTCTCTTCTCTCTCTTTCTCTCTCTGTTTCTCTCTCTCTGTCTCTCTCTCTCTCATTACTTATTTATTTCTTAGGGTCAAAAGTGGATGTTTAGTCTGTTACAGCATACCCAATCCTCAGGGTCCCCCCCACAGCACTACAACTGAACACCAGCTGCAGCTTTCCCTCCCTACGGCCTGTGCCTCCTGTGGATCGCTCAGACCACATCTCCCTGGCCTCCTCTTTCCCCAGTTTCCCCAACAAGCATCCGCTACACCCTCAACAGCCCAACACTCCTACCCTGTCAAAACACCAACCAAGCAGACTAGTAAAACAGGCAACACTCAGCCAAAAAGGCTTTCTGAAAATCCGGAGAGGAAACAGAAACTAAGGAACAAAACTCCCACTCAACCAGGACAAACCCAGAAACCAGCACCTAGAACTGTAACTCTCCCAACCCAGATGCCTCGATGCCAGCGTAAGAACACAATAGCCATGGCAGGCAATATGTCATCACCAGAGCCCAGCTATCCTACCACAGCAGGTCCTGAATATTTCAGCATAGCTGAAGCACAAGAACATCGTAAAATCGACTATATGAAGATGATAAAGGTCCTTGAAGAGGAAATGAATAAATCCCTTAAAGAAAACCAAGGAGGGATTAATTGAAGGGAATGAATAAAACTATTCAAGAACTAAAAATAAAAATAGAAGCAAATGAGAAAAAGAAAACCCAAACTGAGGGAATCCTGGAAATGAAAAATTTAGTAAATGCAAACCAGAACTACAGAGGCAAGCTTCATCAATAGAGCACAAGAGATTTCCATCGTAAACGTCTCAGGCATTGAAGATACCATAGAAGAAACGAGTATGTTGGTCAAAGAAAATGTGTGCCTCCAGGAAACCTGGGACACTATGAAAGACCAAACCTACAAATAAGAGGAATAGAGGAAGAAGAAGAATCCCAACTCAAAAGCCCAGAAAATATTTTCAACAAAATCATAGAAGAAAATTTTCCTAACCGAAGAAGGAGATGCCTATGAGAGGTAGAAGCATACAGACCACCAAATATACTGAGCCACAGAAGAAAGCTCCCTGAGCACACAATAATTAAACACACAGGACAAAAACAGAACACTAAGAGCAGGTGACATATAAAGGCTGGCCTATTAGAACTATGCCTGACTTATCAATGGAAACTCTAAAAACCCAGAAAGGCCTGGGCAGATGTGCTGCAGGCTCTAAGAGACCAGATGCCAGCCCCAATTACTATACCCAGCAAAACTTTCAATCATCATAAATGGAGAAAACAAGGTATCCCACGATAAAGTCAAATTTAAACAATATCTATTACAAATACAGCCCTATAGGAGGTGCTAGAAGGAAAAATCCAAAACCAAGGAAGCTAACTACAAACATGAAAGGGCAGGGAATTAATAATCTACCAGCAAAAGAGAAAGAAGGAAAACATACATTTGTGCACACACACACACACACACACACACACACCCCATGTACAAACACATACACAAGAGTTTTAAATTAATTGAAATGTTAGTAGAATTATCCAAGAAAAAATATGCCCTTTAAAACACACACATCTGCACACACACTTCCTGGGATTTAAATGTTACAGATCATCAGCCCTTGAGTCATTGGAGAGAGAGCCCACAGAGAGATAATGACTAAAAGTAGCCCTGGCCCTGGAAACCCTGCAGTTTACCTCAGCCTCAAGTTCCCATTTCTAGTTCTCATTATGACACAGAAGAAACCTTGATTGGTATTTTTACGTAAACAAAACCAAGAGAGAATCAGCAGCTGCTTCAGGGGTTTTATGCTCTTACATCTGGGATTTTCCAGAAAGCACTGTTAATATTAGCAGCAAAATGGATTTAGGAAGGAAGACACAGCCTGATTCATCTGCCTGACCACTGAGTGAGGGCTGCCTGGTCCTAATGACTGCCCTCCTGGGAATGGCTCTTAGATCACCCATATCTTCATCACCCTACTGTCAGGTGCTGGGACCCTGGAAATCCTGGGTTTTCCACATATGCTGGCTAACAGGACCTTCAACAGCTGTGTCTAGACTCTGCTGTTTGGAGGTGTCTGAGTCAGTGTTCTGTTGCTGTGAAGAGACACCACAACCATGGCAACTACTAAAAAGTAAAACACTTAATTGGGTCTCTCTTAAAGTTTCAGAGGTTTGTTCCATTGTCATCATGGTGGAAGCATGGTGGCACACAGGTAGACATGGTGCTGGAGAAGTAACTTCAGAGTTTTACATCCCGATCTTCAGACAGCAGGAAGAAAGAGACAATGGGCCTGGCTTGAGGATCTGAAAGCTCAAAGCCCACCCCACTACCTCCAACAAGTCCATACTTTCTTGTCACAAGTAGCACCACTCTCTAATGACTGAGCATTCAAATCTATGAGCCTGTGGGGGGCCATTCCTATTCAAACCATATGGGGTACCAGACAGGAACATGGAACGTGAGGTAGAAAGACAGATATTATCAAGGCTTGGAGTGTTTTCTTAAGAGGTGTTTCAGATGTTATCACTGACTCACAGGTCACGCCTAAATGCATTGTTCTAAAATAACCACCAGTGTTCACATATCCCATGGTTTCTGCACAGGGAACACAGAAAAGGCTCTTGGCTGAAATCTGAGAGTCCTTCTAGTGGGTTATCATCACATGACAGCTGTGGCTGAGGTCATGAGACCAGTGAAGCCAGGACTGGCCAAGTCTACCCATTTTCCTGTTGGTCCGTCCATCTATCCATCCATATGAGACACATCTGTGTCTGTGTGGTCAGACACACCCTCAGGGAGGTAGGATTTGTCTTGGCTCATAGCTTTAGGAGGGTTGTGCACTTGGACAGAACATGACGGGGGTGGCAGGAATGCGTGGTGAAGACTGTTGTTCACTTCTTCGTAGGCACAAACTGAGAAACGGGGAGACTAGAGACTTCATATAATCGCATGTTCCTCCAGCAAAGCTATACCTCCTAAGGTCTTCACCACGACCTCTCCACCAGCCCCACCATCTGGGGGCCTGGGGACAAGAGCCTATGGGGGACATTTCATATGCAACCCATGATTATATATATACATATATAATCAAATATAATCTATAATAATCATATATAATCTATCTATCTATCTATCTATCTATCTATCTATCTATCTATCTATCAGGATGTTATGTGGATCTATGTATCTTCTACTTACCTATCTGTGGTGCTACAAAGGGATGATTTGGTCTCCCCAGTAGAGCACTGGGTTTGAGATAGCTAGAGACCAAATCCACGTGTCTTCTAGAGCCTGCCACTGCTAAAGCTTCCAGCCTCTGAAACCTTGGACTTTCTCCTGTATGTGGGACCCGCCAGCTTGGAAAGCCACCCGGGATTCTGCCACTCGTCCCCGTGAGTCGCCGCCGTGGTCCTGAGACCCTGCTTCTGTGCGTGTTTTTTCCCACACCTGTCTTCCCTCCAGGACCCTCCAAGCAGTCTTTCCACTTTAAAAAAAAAGAATTACTTTTTATTGATTTATAAGGAGGCACAGCAAGAGCGTGGAGGTCAGAGGACAGCTTGTGGGAGTCACTTCTCTCCTTCCACCACGTGGGTGCCAGGGATCAAACTCAGGTCTTCAGGCTTGGTGGTAAGGGCCTATACCCACCAAGCCATCTGGCTGGCCCTCCAAACAGTCTTGAATACATCAATAAAGCACTCACAGAGAGACCTTACGCTCCATAGATACCTCATAGTGGACGCTCCTATGAGCGAGGCAGAAGCTCCACCCTGTCTTACGCTGTGCCTTGGACTACCATGGAAGCACTTCTACCTCCTCTGCTGGCAAAGAGTCTCACACCTACCCAGATTCAAAGACAGAGACACCCACGCACCAGGAGGCAAAACATAGAAGAGGAATGTGGAGGAATTGTGGCTACCATATTTGAAATTACAAGTTGCCACAGGCTAAGTTCCCTAGACACCAAAGTTGCAACAGGGAGTCACTTGTGAAGGAATAAGGAACAAGAAGGATATGAGTTCATGTGACATCTCCCCAACTGAGGTCCTCACAGGGAGCCTACAGAATCTGGCCCTCCAGGAGGCAAAGAAATTGGTTTCCATGGTCCAGGCCAAACAATTTCCAGCTAGGGAAGCCCCAGGTGAAGAGTTTGGAAAGCCCCAGGTACTTCACAAAGAGTCAAGTCCAACCCCCTGAGGGCATTTCTCAAGCAAAGTTTGCAGGGTGAGGCTTCAATAGCGGGTCTGTGAGAAAAGACTCCTCCAAGAGCCTCTACTAAGGTGGGAGACACGGAATATTCACAAGTTCTCCGCCAATGAGCAAAGGAAGGGAGATCAGCCCTTAGGCTGAGATGATGAAGACATGAACTAAAGACACAAGCCTCATGCATCCCAAGTGACTAATTTATACAGATCTGGGAACTCTATTCACCTCTTCATCACTGTGACAATATAAAGGGACAAAGTCACTCTGGCTCCGGATTTCAGAAGGCTCAGGCCATGACTACTTCCACATAATATCCTAACAGCTGGACCATGTATCAGAGGATGTTCCTTACACAGACAGGAAGCAGAGAACAGGCATCCTAGCTCCTACTGTTCCATCCAGGTTCTCAACCCACATGATGATGACAGGGTGGATCTCCCTTGAATTCCCTCACAGACATGCCAGAGGTGTTCCTCACCAGTTTCCTAGGTGATTGTAAACCGAGGCAGGTTGACAAAGTGACAAAGATTAACTCCCATAGGAACCCAAGCAGAAGACAGGAGAACCAGACCTTGTAGCTTGTAGCTCATACCTGTGATCCCAGAACTTGGGGGCTGCGGAGGATGCTGCAAGTCTGATGGCTACATAGTGAGTTTGAAGCCAGCCCGAGTAAGATCCTGTCAAGGATAGGAAGGGATGGGAGGAGAGAAAAGTGGGAGAAGAGGAGGGGGACAGAGGAAGGGAAAGAAAAGAGAAATGAAAGACACTAGGGGTTTGGGGCAGAGAATCCACTCAAGCGAATATAGGCAAAAGCTAAAATGAGATAGGTGAGGCATATGCTGATCCAGCCTGGATCTTGGCTCAATGTTCCTTCAAATCTTTCCGTTTCTCTTCCCCTTTCTCTCTACTTTTCTATGAACTCTGTTCACAGGAGTCCACCCTCACAGGATCTCACCCTCTGAGGAGTCCTCCCTCTCAGACTTGCCCTGGTACTTGCTCCCTGGTAAGAGCACGGGCTGCAAGACACAACTCAGTCCTCTCCTCTCAGGTATCCCTGTGAGCAGAGTCTGTTTAAGCCTCAGTCTTCGAGTGTCATCAGCTCCTATTGGCCAGACTAGTCACCTGGCTATTCTGGAACCAATCACTGTGTCCAAGGTATTGTGACGTTCTGATTGGCCAATCCTGAGTCACATGCTCACTCAGCCTGAAGAGGAAATTGATTTCATTAGAACCACAAAGATTGAGAGTAAAGGTAGAGCAAGAAGCAGTAAGGCAGGTCAGTCATCAGATGCGGGATAAAGCCAGCCGGGGAATCCTGACAAAGCAGGAAATGACTTCGGGAGGACACGAGTCACCAGGACAGAAGGGCAGGCTGGGATCCTGGTCCAAGCTACTTCCAATCCCTTTGTCCAGAAAAACCGTAAATTTATTTCTTTCTTTTGGAAAAATTAATTTCACATATGTGGAGACACAGAACAACTGGGAGGGGGGTTGAGGAGGGGGCTCTGTGGTCTGGATCCCAGGAATCGAACTCGGGTCTTCATGCTTGGCAGTAAGCATATTTACACAATGAGCCATCTCAGTGACCCCAGGAAACTATTTGGTTTCAGAATGTGTGGGTAGCCATGCCTTGAGCTGGAGAATTTGAAAGAAGGCCACAGTAATCATAATTTTGTTCTCTAGCTGAACCAAAGGGGCTCCTTAGTGACTGCGTGTGATTTAAGAACTGTGCCAGTAATTTTTGTTTGATCAAGTCTCTTGTAAAGATTAAAGGTTTGTGAAATCAGATATGTGAAGTAAAAGGGATAGATGTTAATAGGCCAGGAGGAATACAGTAAAACACACGACAGAAATGCAAGAGGCACTTAATGATGTCATCTCCCAAGAAAAATGAAAAAAAAAAAAAAGATAGCAGCCATTCCTGAACCAGCTTAATTGAACCATTAGGGAATCAAACATGAAAAGAGATCTTTGTTCAACAATGGCCTAAATTTTAATCTCTATTTAATTATGAGGCTCCTCTGGGCAATGGAATGATGTCTTCACCTTCCCCAAGGGTGGGGTGGATGGAGACCACCAAAAGGCTCAGTTGGCCTCTCTAACAGAATTTCTCAACTTGTGGGTTTGGGACTCGATTGACCCTTTCATAGGGGTCACACATCAGATACTCTGCATATCAGATATTTGTATTATAATTCATACCCATAGCAAAATTATAATTATGAAGTAGCAACAAAATAATTTTATAGTTTACGGGTCACCAGAACATGAGGAACTGTATTAAGGGTCACAGCATTGGGAAGGTTGAGAACCACTGAGTAAAACCTTTGAGACTTTATCTAGGGCTAAAAGTGATTATTAGAAACATCTGGGTTGCAAGCACCAGATACTTGATTTTATTGGTTTAACTGAGTGGGAGTAGTGATGGAGTGGCATTCACACACACACACACACACACACACACACACACACACTAAAGGAAACAGCTGATGGCCCAAAGTTGGAGCTCATACTTTTTGGCTTTTTTCTTTATATTTTGGAAGATGGCTACTGCAGTGCCAGGTACATCACCTCTTGCACCAGAAGGAAGTGGGTTGCTGGACCTTGATGTCTTGATAGTTGGACCTTGACAGTCAACCTCAGGAATGAGTCAGGCATAAGGAAATGGCCAGTGTGTAAGTGTGCATTCTGTGACAGCACTGGGACCTGTGTTCATCCCCAAACCCAATGTCATGTCATATACATTGGTTTGAACATCCGTAATCCCAGCACTCTTGCAGGAAAACTGGAGGCAAGAAAATCCCCCAGGAGCTCATAGCCCAGCTACCCTGGTGAATACAGTGGCCACGAGTCCCTGTCCCAAACAAGATAGAAGATAAGGGTCAACACCCAAGGCTGTTCTCTGGCCTCCTCATGTGCTGTGGTACACATAATCCTGTAGTCACACACATACCACACACAAACTCTGTGTCTTTGTCTGTCTCTCCCTCTCCCTCTCTCCCTCTCCCTCTC